GTTCTCCTATTGCTGTTTACTCGGTTCTGCCACTGCTGTTCCTATTTCCAGCAAACCAACAACCCTGTAAACACCTGTTTTCCTTTGGCCACAGAACACAGCACAGCTTTATTAACAGGAGCCAGTCTGCTAGGAAAAAACAACCACTTCCCAGGACGCAGTCTTGTTTTCCAGTTCACCGCCACTGCTGTTGGAGGGGATTCCAGAGGGGTCTCTTGCTAGCTGGAGTTCCTTCACCTTTGCTATGTTCCCAATAAATAAAGGGCCCCTTGCTCTGATACAGTTTGACCTTGTTCATTTTTTAAGACTGAAATCCAGAGGGCTTAATTCTTTTCAATTCTATATCTAGATTTTAGAATTAGAGCCTGATTTCAGAACTGGATTCAGAAAGCCAGATAGGGCTGGGACTATCTTCTGGAGCTTTCTGTGGGTGATATGTGTGAGGCGTGGGGGTGCCCTAGCATTGGGGCCCCAATTGAAGGCTTCTGAGACTCTTTCTTTCTGTCCCTCAGTTTGCCACAGTGCCTTACAGTTTCTCCCCTATGCCCTTTGCCAAGTGCTGTCTCCACACCCTCGCCTCTTAGCACTTAAGGATGTCCTGGTTCCCTTGCCTCGTTACTGCCCCATGCTCACCCTTTCCCTTCCTCCCGTCCCGAAATCCACATCCTCACACTTGTCCACTGGCTGAGCCCAGGGACCCACAGGCCTGCACTTCCCTCTTGAGCGCTCATAGCTGTTTAGTGATTGTGCCATTGTTTCCTAGAGACCTCTGTGTGTCAAGCACAGGGGTAAGCGTTTTGCACTTTTGCAGCTGTTCTCGCTTTTAATCCTTACAACAACCCCATGAAACTTACTCACCTCCTCCTTTTTTTTTTTTTAATTCTATCTTGTGGATCAGGAAATGGACCAACCACAAATAATAAGGAAACTGTAGTTGGCGAGGCAGGTGAGCCAGGACTTGGCATCTCAGGGCATTTTAACACCAGATTTGGGTTCTTGATTTGAGTGTTTCACATAGGTGAAACTTAAAATTGAGATATACACATAGCAAAGCACAAAATCATGTATATGTAGTTCAGTGCTTTTATTTATTCATTTTCAGCCAAGAACACCAACAAGTCCCCCCCCCTTTTTTTTAAAGATTTATTTATTCATACAGAATTGGGGTACAGGCCAGAGATGTGGAGGGTGAGAGGATTCAGCAGGAACAGAGTGGGGAGCAGAACAGGCAGATCAATGAATTACACTGCTGAGGGGAGCAGCGGGCAGGTCAGGAGAGGTCTGCCACGCCATGTGGATCTCCTCCGGGGCAGGATCAAACTCATGCTGAAGTGGCTTTAGCTTCTCAGTGCTGTGCTTTAACCTGCCGCAACACCAGGGAGGGCCTCCAACTTTTTTTTTAAAGATTTATTTATTTATTCAGACAAGAACTAGATTGGTGGTGATGGTGAGAGAATTCGTCAGATACAGGTTGAGAAGCAGAACAAATAGATCCACTGAAATAACACTGATGAGGGGAGCAGCAGACAAGACAGGAGGGAGCTGTCACACCATGTGGGTCACCTCCCTGGTCAGGAATCAAATTCTTGCTGCCGTAGCTGCAGACAGCCTTACAGTGCTGTGCTTTTTAACCTGTTGTGCCCCCAGGGACAGCCACCCTCACACCCCCAGTTTTTAATACCGCAGATGATTATTAATGATTATTACCTGTTTGCCTGCTCTAAGGGCAGCTGTGTCATATACATTCTCTTGTGGCTAGCTTCTTTCCGAATTCAGATGTACGAGATTCGTTAAGTTTATAAACTCCCTCCTCCTGGTTGACTTTTCTTAGTTTTTAATTAGTAGAGAAGGCAAGTTTCCTTCTGGAATCTCTCTTGAATGTCATCATGATGTGCCATCAATGTAGCCTTTTTCTTTTTTAAAAGATTTATTTATTTATGCATACAGAACTGGGGTACAGGCCAGAGGTGCAGCGAGGATTCACCAGAGACAGTGGGGAGTAGAACAGGCGGACCAACAAATTACACTGCTGAGGGGAACAGCAGGCAAGACAGGAGAAGAGGTCTGCTGTGCCATGTGGGTCACCTCCAGGACTGCGGATCAAACCCACACTGAAGCTGCTGCGGCCAGCTTGCAGTGCTGCGTCCTAACCTGCTGCGCCACCACAAGCACCCGTAGTGTAGCCTTTTTCAAAGACATTCTCTTTGTAGCAGAGAAACTACCTCCAAACCATCTCATCTGCGCCTCTGGCTTTTCCTTCCAGTTGACCTCTCTTTTAGACCCATCAGTCCACCGCATTGTTCTGGCTGGTTCACTTGATCATGCTCTCCAGCACAGCAGGCAACGCCAGCTTCCTCCGAGGCCCCCTGTGACTGATGTATTAACATCCATGTGGGTTTCGCCTGGGACGGGCAAGTGTTCACAGCTTTGGCAGCAGTTCACTGCACTGTGAATCAATTTTAAATTGCCTCAGTATGATGATCACAGACTTCCTGTGTGGCTTAAAGAAGAGGACACCTGGGAGAGAGGTGGGTGTCTTCCAGAGAAGAATGTGCAGCTCTCCCTCTGTATTCTGTGCATCTATTTTAATCTGGAACATTTAACACTATAATAAGCAACTTGCAATGGAAACAAGAAACTTTCCTTCCCTTGAAAATCTGGAATGGTGGAAAAGAGTGCCTAATGGCAACCTTGCCTACCTGGAAATGTCCATCTCGCTTGGTGGCAAACAGGTAGACATGAGCCGTCATGGGTGCCATTATTCTCACAGCACAGAGGCTTGGAGAGGCAGCCTTTATCACCACATCAGCCACCAGTCTGCCAGCATATGGTCACCCTGGTTGTTATATAAAAAATTCAGTGGATATTTCTCCAGCCTCACCTCGTGAATTCATTTGTTATTTTCAGACCCAATCATGGTGTGTGATATCTTGGTCGTATGATTTGCCACCAAACCTTGAAGACTCCTTTTTGACGTATATGGACTTATGTGTGGTCTTCTAACATTAATTCTTGGACAAAGTAATCTTCAAGGACAAAATAGTGCCCCTTGGTACTAACTCCAGATATCTCATAATAAGTGGATAGATGGGTTCAGTGAACTGTAATGTGCATGTGTGGAAATAGTGCGCGGACTTGATACATTACTAAGGACACTCAGGATGGATACTGTTGGATTAAAAAAAAAAAGAGCTTCAGTGGTTCGATGACCTAGGGGTAATATTAAAGATTTGGAGCTTTTTAAAACAGATGTATTTATGCATACAGAACTAGGGTAAGATTTGAGGCTTTCAAATTAGTTACGGGGAAGGGGAAGTGCTTTACAAATCTTCATGTATTTGGTATCTTGCTTTACTGAGGGAAAATACAGCATATGTTTTATTTTCCAGCGGTAGTATGTGGATTCTTTGTGCAGGCTCAAAAGATCTGCTATATCAGTTATTTGTGCTAGGCCAGGCTAGCTATGTTATTATAGAAAATTTGAGTTTCTTATTAAAGTGAAGAGTTAAGCTCTGTATTAATACCTAGTCTTTAGATCTGTGAAGAGTTGGCAACGTGCCAACATAACAAGTTCTAGACAGGGCTCGGTTTTACCCAGAGGGCAATGGGAAAGTATAAACTCTACCGACTTTACTTATTGTCTATGTATATGAATGTATATTAAAGGGATAATGTTGAACTTGTAGATCACATAGTGATGCCTTGGATTCGAAGAAAGTGTAAGCAGTGGTTTTGAGAGTGACATGGGCATGAATCCTGAAGTTGGAACGTGGGGCAGAAAAGTAGCACATCTGTTTTCTTCCATCCTGCTCTTTTGCATGCTTTATAATATCTGTAACATATCAGTGCTTATTAAAGAAAAAAAAATCTGCTTTCTTATTTTGGCATGAAAACAGCTATGTACTACAATTAGGCTTGTTTACATTTAGCAGAGGAAGGAAACAATAGCTTACATAACACAGAAGTTTATTTCCTGCTGCCACAAAGGTCCTGGCCATGGACACCCCAGCACAGGGTTCACAGCCCATAGTGCCACCAGGATCTCTGCTTCCTCTCCTTGCTGCCTCCCCCCATGGAATGCCATTTTCATAGTCACTTTGTGATTCCAAAGAGCAACTTGAACGTCAGCCATCTTGCTTATAGTTCAGACAGCAGGAAGAGAAGAGAGCAGGAATACCTCCCTCTTTTAAATTCTTTTAATTAATAGACTTTTTTTCAGAGACGTGAAGCTATAGCAAAATTTAGCAGAAAGTAGAGTCCCCATCCTTTAAAGGTATGAACTTAGTGCTGCCTGATAGCTTTTGCCTACATCTGTCTCATCGGGGGAGGATGGGTACACCTGGCTAAAAGGAAGAGTAGTCGTCTGTGGGAACTTCGCTGCCTTTGATAAAAGTGGGGCTTGTGGCTAAGTAGACAGGGGGATTGTTGGAAAGGAAACTTGAAATGTGTCATAAAGCAATTTGACAATAAGAGTCTCCTTTATTCTCTTAAGTCTAAATCTCAAACTGCTATGTTTAGAGAACAGTGTTTATTTGTTCATTTTGAAACATACTGTTTACTGTGTAATTATGAGTTTTTAGGGGCTTCATCTTAACATTGAAAACAATCATTTTCAATTATGTAAAGAAATCGTACAATTACACAAGGTATAAGGAAGGAGGTATTTTATGTTAAATTGGGAGTACATTTTGTGTTTTTGAATGGGATTTAATGGAATGTTTTATGCAATGGGTAAACAATTTAAAAATTGTTTAAAAATATAAAAATATAACTCACGTGTCTTTTGGTATCCCCATACTTCTATTATTATTCCTGCTATTTCCAATTACTTATGCTAAGTTTGCTCTATCAATAAATACTTCAACTTATATTGATTTCAAAAAGAGATGAGATCAAAAAGGCATTTGCTTTGTCTTTTTCTTAGAATGTGGGGAGGTAATGACTTACTGTATGTGTTCTCTGTCTCCTCTCCCTGTTCTTCAATCATCTCCCCCCCAAAGTGCATACTCCTTCCACGTCACTGCAGATGGTCAGATGCAGCCTGTCCCTTTCCCCCCCGATGCTCTCATTGGACCCGGAATCCCCCGACATGCTCGCCAGATCAACACCCTGAACCACGGGGAGGTGGTGTGTGCGGTGACCATCAGCAACCCCACGAGACACGTGTACACAGGGGGGAAGGGCTGCGTCAAGGTCTGGGACATCAGCCACCCTGGCAATAAGAGCCCGGTCTCCCAGCTCGACTGTCTGGTGAGTGAACAGGAACCAGTGCGTGAGGGTAATTTCTCTCTAGAGACTCAATAAGGAAATAGCTGTCCAGGCCTGGATTTTATTCCCATTATGAGGAAATGGAAGCCCATTCTGTTTCCTGTGTTAGCTGTTTAGCTCTCCCCTCGCCCCACCACTTTAAATGGGAGAGTTTCATTTGCTGCCCTTTTAGTGGTTAATTCCCAGAGTTGATGGATTTGTTTAAAAAAAAAAAAAAATTTACGGTAGTTTACAGAAGCTCTCCTTGTTTGGATGTGTATACAAGAGGAGTTTTCCATTTAATGGATGAAAACATAGCTAGGCCTGGTCTCTGATTTCTGCAGTCTACGCAGCTTTTAATTTTCCTGTGTCTGTGGATATTGAATAGTAAACATTTGATAATGTGGCATAAGACCCAATTCTGAATAGTGTCTGTTTTCAGGAAGAGATGGTTGTGCTTTATTGCCTTAATTTCAGGAAAGGGTTAATAGATCATCCTGCAGGAAACCAGGGCAGCTGTCTGTAAAACAGCCATGGTGGGAATGCTTTCCCAAGGCACCTAATCCATGCCTCCGTGGTATGAGAATGCCGCTTTGCATTTCTCAGGATCATAGAACATGCTAGGACAAGTTCCCGTCTCTGAACTGTAACCCCAGGATTTACAGACCACATACCATTGTCCTTAAGCAGAGTACAGATGACTCTGCCCCGTTGTGGTGTCTGTCTGTGCTTTGCTCCTGTAGATGGCTGTTTGGCAAATGGTGAGGATTCCAGAGAGAGTTTCCAGAACGAAGAGTAGCACTTGGTTAGACGCAGAGACTCCTGCGGTCATAGATACTGGTTTACTCTTTAAATCAGATGCCTTAAAAAAATCTCCTTTAATGCAACTTTAAACAGCTAAACTTATGCTTAAATAAAAGTCTAATTAACTCTTATAGTAATTGGAGTATTTTATGACTTTTTTATTAACGTGCTTAAAGTTTCTCCTTTGAGTGACAGCCTATGGTTAAAGCATGGTAAAAGGTTTGTGTTCAAGGATAGCAGTTACTCTTTCAGAAGGGAGGGTCATTTTTGCTCCTACCTCCTTTTTATATATGTCTTGACTTTGATGAAGAAGTGCCCTCTTTGGTCATTTTCTTTGGCCTTTGGATTAAGAATCTTAAATATGATGTCAGCCATGTTACAGCTTAAGAAAGCAAGGATCTTCTAGCTGATGAAGACACTGTAAGCCCTTAGATCAGGAGTTAAGAGTAATGAAAACCAAAACAAGGGCAAGGCAGAGGGAGAGGGCCTGCAGTTTCCAAAGAGTAACTGATGGATGGTGATGAGGTCAGAAATTTATAAACTGGTTTTGAAAGGTGCTTTTTCATTAAGAAGTATAATGTACACCTACCTTATACCTACTTGTAATTTAAGTTCTGTCTGCTAGCAGGAAATTGGACATCAGGAAGTTTATCCAAGTGTTCACACATGCCCCAGCAATCCTATGAAAGTGTTCTGTTTACTATTTCACAGGAGACAGTTAAAATCAGATCCCAGTCTTGACTGCAGAACTCTTGCTTTGTTAGTGTATGTGAAATGCCACTTCTCAAATCAGAAAACTGAGATAGCAGTGAGAGAACATGGCATGATGACTGCTTGGTAATGCATTACAGCAATTGAATTATATTCCACAGAATAGAGATAACTACATCCGTTCCTGCAAGTTGCTCCCCGACGGTTGTACCCTCATTGTGGGAGGGGAAGCCAGTACTCTGTCCATTTGGGACCTCGCGGCTCCCACCCCTCGCATCAAGGCGGAGCTGACGTCCTCGGCCCCCGCCTGCTACGCCCTGGCCATCAGCCCTGACTCCAAGGTCTGCTTCTCGTGCTGCAGTGACGGCAACATCGCCGTGTGGGACCTGCACAACCAGACACTGGTGAGGTGAGCAAAGGTGGTTTCCTGCCTTGAGCGCTTGGCCAGCAGACCCAAGCGCTCTGGCCTGCTGGCTCTGTACGGATTAGGAGTGCACCCCCTGGGTGGTGGGGCGCAGCTTGCATTCTTGCTGCCATGTTTGGGTGTCACCCAGACTGAATATGTACCTCCCTAAGGTTCCCATTCTTTAGCCACATACTGATGCCAAAGCTGCTTTGAAAACATACCTAGCTTTTGCCAGTACATATTATGTACATTATGTGGCCATAAGAAGCATTTGAGTACTACAGATCTTCCTTGTCTTACCCTGGGTTTGCATCCCGACATGAAGTTGGAAAAAAATCCTAAATCAAAATGGACTTAATGCATCTAAGCATCTGCATATGACAGCTGAGCCTAGATTCCTCAAACATGCCCAGAACACTTACACTAGCCTGCAGTGGGCCAACATCACCTAACACAGCCTGTCGTATGAGGGAGTATTTAATATTCCACGTAACTTACTGAATGCTGTACTAACGCTGAAAACAATCAGTAAAGCATGGCATTCCAGCCTCATGATGCCATGCCTCACTGTCACTGCAGCGCAGCAGCGTGAGCCAGGCCTCAGACCTCTGGCCTGGGAGAAGATAGAATTCAAGACTTGAAGCACAGTTTTTAATGACTGTGAATCCCTTTCACACCACTGTCAAGTCAAAACAACTTAAGTTGGGGACTGTCTGTAGATGTTTGAGTCCTTGGTAAGAAGTTTGTGTGAACCAAAGCCAAACTGATAAAGGCTAACAGAAAATCAACAAAAGGCCATTACAAGAGGTGGTTCCATGAATTTCACCAAAAAAGGGTTTTTAAAGTATCTGTGTTTCCCAATAGCTAAATAAGCCCTGTCCAGGGGTCGTTCAGCCCGGCTTCCTGGAATCTGGCCCTCTTTGTAGCACTGGCGGGTAGTTCTGCCCTTTCGTGTCTCTTCCTGGGCCCTGCCTGCTTCCTTGGCAGGCAGGAGTTTGGCACTCATACCAGACAGGTTATAGAATTTAAAAACAAAAAAGTCCAAAAAGAAAGGCTCAAGGGCAAAACTGGCTTATGTTCAGCTCTTCGGTTTTACGGTCCATCATTCCTCAGAAGCAGGCTTTGTTTATGGTGCAGTGTTGGCTTCTGGGGTAGTGAGCAGGCTTCCTTTGCTTTCGTGTCCATGTTCCAGAGAGAGGGCGGGGGAGTGTAGAAGTCCGAAGGGTAGCTCACGCTTCCTTCACACCGCTGCTGGAGAAATCCAGTTGTGTGTCTCTGAGCCAGACTCCATTTGTGGTGTGGCAGGAATTTTTTTCTTGCCACTCACCGGGCAACTCACAGTAAGCAAACTAGGTGAGTAGAGTCCCATCTGAAAGCCTCTTCAGACGTTTAGCAAGCATTTGTTGTTCTTTCTTTAAAAAATTAACACAAAGTACTTGGAAAATTTTAATTTGGGGAGATTTTCAAATATGATTCCCTTTAATCCACCTAACATCCGTGCCCAGTTTTGTAGAGGAGGAACCTGAGGCAAGGAGAGGTTATGTTTGCTTGCCCAGGCTCACACAGCCAAGTCTGATGGAGCTGTGAGGAAGGAATCTCAGGCATCTTGCTGTCCTGTCTGTTCTGAGTTGCTTCTAAACCAGCTGTGAGAAGTCAGCACTGCTGGCTGCAATATACAGTAACTCTCTACAGAACTTTCTCTGCTGGGCTGGCCACGTGTGGCTCGCAATCATTTCATGCAGCAGGCAGTCGCATTTTCGCATCTGCTGAGATCCAGTGTGTTCTGAACCATCGTAGGATCTGCCTTCTAGGAGCCGAGTAGTGCCGAGATACGTTGTCGGAGGGGTGGAGGATCACCTACCAACCACTGAAAGTCGTCAGTGTAGTTGAGGGATGAAAGTATTTCATGAGCTCTAGAGGTAAAAAGAAGCCAGAAGGGATTGAAGAGGAGGTTTCAGAAGCCGTTTGAAAGAAAGCAAAGTGGCACTTTGAAAGGGTGAAGCGGGGATTGTGCAGGCCTGTGTGTCCTGTGGGCAAGTCTTAGAGGTCAGCTGGGGCATCGAGGCGCACTTGCTTGCAGCTGTAGGGGGAGTGGGCTACATGTGGGGAGACACTGCCACGGAGGATTAACTTGCCATGGGGGAGACTCACGTCTTGTCTAGCAATTCAGTGCAACAGTGATACTTTTTCTTTTCCTCTCTGCTTTTTCAATTCCGAACTCAGCCTTAGAGTTTGGAGCTCTGAGAATAAATGTGAGGGGACCTGAAGGGAAAAAAGCACTGGAAACTTTTCTCTTGCTGTTGAAATCCCCAGGTCATTCTCTTAAGAGAGCCTGCCTATGTTACCATGATGATTGGGACCCTGACAATCTCACCTGCACTTGCACCCCTGAAACTCCTTCTTGGCATGTAAAACTATGTCCAGGACCCGAAAACCTCCAGCCCTCGTTTTGCTTACTTTGCTGCCACCCAGCTGAGCCCTCCCTGCCTACTGCCTGCAAGATCTCTGGGTTGATTGTTTTTGGCAGAAGCGTGAGGTTCCCCTTTAAGAGAGCAGCCTTGTGCTCAGCTTCAAGGCAGGGCCTTAGGTGTGCATGGGGTGGCCTCGGCAATTAGCTTTGTCTCTGTTGAGTGCCTCTGAGTCAGGAGGCCTGCGTGTCCATTTGTCTCCAGGAGTCCAGATTTCCTAACGCAGGGCTCTTTCTAACACAGAAAGCAAGGTTGAGTAAACACATGAGCTCATGCTTTGTTGGCATCAAGGGCGCCACTGTGTTGATTCACTCGGGGAAACACAAGTACTTCTGGACCCTTAGCTCGTACTGAAGCTGTGCAGGCCCAGCAGCAATAAAGGGCAGGCCTTCATCTCTCTTTAAGGAATACATGTGGGATCTGGTGTTTGTCTCTTCTTTTCCCTTCTTTTAACACTTAAACACTTTACCAGACCTGGAGGAATTTTACCTTCCAGACGGATTTTTAAGAATAGTTGTAGGAGCATATTTGGCTGCTTCTGCGCAGCAATCTAAATGGCATTTCGTTTCTTTAGCACTTGGATCATGAAAAAAGAAAAAAAGTCTGCAGGTGCTGTTTCCCTGCCTCCTCTGGGGAAGGTTAGTTTGATCTTGCACATCAGCAGACACTGAAGAAATGACACACACACACACCGAGTCCAAAACTAACAACACAACAGTGTTTACCTTGAGCTCTGGCAGGAAATCATTATTCAATCCGGTTTGTTTTATCAGGCAATTCCAGGGCCACACAGACGGGGCCAGCTGTATTGACATTTCCAATGATGGCACCAAGCTCTGGACGGGCGGCCTGGACAACACGGTCAGGTCCTGGGACCTGCGCGAAGGGCGGCAGCTGCAGCAGCACGACTTCACCTCGCAGGTGACAGCTCTTCCTCCCCAGGCCTGCATTCCTGTGCGGCACAGAAACTCCCACCCCAGGGCACAGATGGCTGGACAGACAGCCACAGGCTAGAATTTGAGAGGCCAGTTTAAGGAAACACCCTGAAACGCTTAGGGTGGCTCCTGAGAGCCTGTGGGTTTAGACACATTAGCTGTTTTATTTACAGAGGGTTCACGTAAGAGGATACAGGTTCCCTCCGCAGCGTATGCTCTGTTGCACGTTCCTCACTGCCTCACGTGAAAGTGAGAGGTGATCCTTTGATTCACATGTACAGAGAGGACTATCACAAGGAGTAAGTTCACAACAGCCCTGAACGTTAATTCATTTCCCTGCTATCAGACAGCTTCAGTGGATCAGGATCACAGTGGAAGCCCATTTTACTGTGCTTTTTTAGAGGCTGGACTTGTGGTGACTAGATGTATGGAATTTTGAGTGAAGTACAATAGGTATGACAACTTGGACTGGATGGTGAAAATTACTTAGATATCAAGTGAATCAAGACTGAGGGAAGGAAGTTCTTGCTATGCTAAGTGCTTTCTGATGGTGAAATCTTTCTTTGAGTATTACTATTTACCAGATTTTTGGTAATAAAATAGTTCTATATAGAAAAGTAGAACAAAAACGGGAAAAATCAACTTCCTACTAAATTTCCTGTGCTTGTTAACATTGTCTTCAGTTTCTTGGGCTTGTTGTTATAGCCCCTTTCCAGTGTGAGGGCACTGTTTTTGTCTGCCTTTATTTTTCTTTAAACCACGTACAAAAATTTAAAAAATGTTGACACATATATGTGATTATGTCTTCCACCACATGTGAAAGTGCAGAGAATTGTATTACAGAACCACCCCACCCCCACCCCCCGTGCCCACCATGCAGCTGTAACAGTAACAGTTGACCCATTTTGTCTCCTCTCATCCCCACCTCCAAACATGAGGTCATTTCAGTTAATCCCAGACTCATACCATTTCGCCCATAAGTATTTCAGTTAACATCTGTAGAAGACAAGAAGGCCTTTCAGAGGACACACGTGAAAACCATTATAATTAAGGATAATTTTTAATCTCATCACATACAATGTATTTCGGTTTTTTTTGAGTGTTATTTCGCAAAGGTTTTAATACTTGGCTCATCTGGGTTGGGGTGCTTGGCTTGGAGCTCTGACCATAGTCTGGGGTTCACTGACTATGACTCCCGCCTCTCCGCTGGCTGCTTTTCTCCTTTTGTTGCCATTTCGCTTCTGAAGTTTATTGGGCAGCATAACCAGTGAGTGTGTTCTGCTTGGTGTAGATCTTCTCCCTTGGATACTGCCCGACGGGGGAGTGGCTGGCTGTGGGCATGGAGAGCAGCAACGTGGAAGTTCTCCACGTCAACAAGCCCGACAAGTACCAGCTGCATCTCCATGAGAGCTGCGTGTTGTCCCTCAAATTTGCTTATTGTGGTGAGTTCAAGTGAAAGGAAACTGGAGGACACTGATGGCCTAAGTGGAAAATACTTCCAAAAAAGTATTGGAGAGATCATATCTGGAAAAAATGTGGTTCTCTGAGCAGCTGGGGGCAATAATTCTTAATATGTCCATCTTAGTGCTGTCTGTTTCAGTCTGTTTTCCCAATTTGAGAAAAGTCCATAGGTGACGAAATTGCCCAATATAAGGATTTGACACATTTGGTTTTGGTGGGAGGAAATGTGACGCATTTGATTTGGGTGGGAATGGGGGGTATTTAGTTATCATTTGGAAGAGGAGTGGGTGGGTATTTGTAGAAGACCGTGAAAGAGCAGGGGAAGTAATCATGGACAGAGACCACAATATTCAGCTGCACCCAGACTTACTCTCCAAGTTCACATGGAGCCAAATACTTGTTCATGGGCTGGACAGATTACTCAGTCAACTGATGGATGAGTAGCTGTCCCTTAACTAGCATATTTTATATGTCACCGACAGTGTCTGGCATTTTTCTTAAGTTCTTCATTTATTCCTTTGTAATCCCATTTTATCATGAGAAGACCAAGGGGCAGCTAGGAGACTAAATACTATACCTGCGGACCTACTGTGTGCTGAGTATGATGCTACCTGTCATGTACCTGGTGATTAGTGGGGTGACACAGTCCCTGCTACCATTTTGATGTGTTACCCAAGATCTCAGCTGGTTTACAGTGGAGCCCAGATTTAAAGCCTACTTTATCCAGTGATGTCATAGCCCAACTCCATGGGCATGATAGTTTTAAAGTTCTGATTTTAATTAAATTGCTAATAGTTCAGTAGGCGTTTCCATCTAGCCAAACTCTTCTGTTCCTTTGCTAATTCTAGGTAAATGGTTTGTGAGTACTGGGAAAGATAACCTTCTCAATGCTTGGCGGACCCCCTACGGAGCTAGTATATTCCAGGTAAGTCTCTGATTCCGACCTAGAATGATGTAAAGGAAGGTGCCTTGGAGGGAGCGGGCCCTGAGTATCCCTGTTCCTCATTAAACACAAGCCCACTGTTTTCTCTTCCAGTCCAAAGAGTCCTCATCTGTGCTTAGCTGTGACATCTCTGTGGATGATAGGTACATAGTCACTGGCTCAGGGGACAAGAAGGCCACAGTCTACGAAGTCATCTACTGAAACATGTGGTTGAATGTTAATAGTTGAATTGGGCCAAAATGTTTTGAATTTGTAGAAATAGAAAAGTTGTAACTTTAAAAGAAAAACCACAAAAACCTGTTTCCAAGCCTTGACACAAAACTACTTTGAGTCTACAAAGAGGTAGCGGTGACAAGCCTATCGACAGAAGGTCACTACTACCTAGACCAAATGGAACGCCTAGGCGAGGTGGACAGAGGGGCCAAGGGTTGAGGCTTGAGGAACGGACCCTGCTGACCGGGCGGAGCCTGCGCTCTTCTGTGTGACCTGCCGAGATGACCTTTCTGTTCCCTGCTTCCCCTCACCTTCCGTCCTTGGTAGAGCAGTGGTGTCTTCCAGTGAACTTGTTTCCTGGTTTTGCATCTTGTGAAATGTTTTTTTGTATTTTTGTTGAAGGTTAAACATTTGTATAAATTGTAAATATATTTGGTTTATTACAGTAAAGGCTTTAGTACCAATAAGTGGTTTTCCTTTTCCTTCTTGTTTTTATCAGCACTTTGGGATCACTGGTGTGGGTTTTATGGGTTAAGCCCAAACACTGGTAGAGGAACTATTAAAATGCACTTCTTATTTTATAAATATATTTGGTCATGGATTCTCGTGGACTGGAACCTAACCAAACCCTCCTGAGTTACTGGAAACTCAAGTGTAGGAGTCGAGGTGAAGATACCTCAATGACAGTTTTATTGGGGAAGCTAAAGTAACTTTGTTGAGAGTCACTCTTTTGTTTAGGATATTCTAGTGATTCGAGGTCACAAAGTTTTGGTTTTTCTTGGTGATTCATTTGGAAACAGAGGATTCTTTCCTCCAGGAAGATCTAGTCTTTTTAAATTTATAGTGGCTCTTTTCATGAGCTTTACATTTCAAGAAATGTAGTTTACTTGAGTTTAGTATTAAGATCAGTGGTGTTCACAGCACAATAGACTTCATTAACCTGTTAAAGAAAGGTTGGATGTTGGCTAGTTTCCTCTTTATTACTTATTTGCTCTATTAACTTACTAAGACAACCACACCCAATTCTTAGGTCCTCTCTTCTCATTAAGACTTTTCCTGCAGCTATAGCCATTGCTGCCTATCAGTTGTCTGGTTTTTATCTTTATGAACATACCTTTCCTCATTTGATTAGTTGCAACCTGCAACCCTAGGCTTTTAATAAGTTACAGTGTTTCCTCCTGTAAAGACTGCAGAGCTCATTCTTCCAACACCTATTATTTACTGTTATATTTTAGAGACTAATGGTGAATAATTTTAAGCCCGTTTTCCTGGCTGATTAAAAATAGCACCTAAGGAATGTTTAATGTTCTTGTTTTCTTACAACACAGCAAGTTGTTGGCAGTTTGTCTTAATATTTTTCATTTGTTATCCAGACCTTCTTGGTTTTATACATTTAACAACATTATTTTATTTGCCTTTTGCCAAAATAATATTTACATAGTTTGTTTAATATTTTGCCTTCTCATTAAGCGAATGGCAAAACTTTAATTACTGGAGCTGATTTCTCTTTCATCCCTTTCTTGAATAATGAAGTAGGATTCTATCCTACGGACTCTGACTTACTAGTATTTACCTCCCTCCTTCCTCCCTCCCTGCCTTACTTCGCTTTCTTCTGTAATAGCAAAGTAGAGACTGAGTTGCTCTAGAAGAAGCCCAACAATACAGTGGCTTACAAACCACCAGGGTTTGTTTCGTCCCCACCCAAGATCAGAGCCCACCAGCATTTATGGTTGGCCATAAAAGGGTGGACTCAGACAGCAGTGGGGACAGTAGAAGTCCAGGGAAAGGAATATGCTTTCAAGCTGATGAGTTTGTTACTTTCATCACCAGTTCTTTGTCAGGTATGTAGTGATATGGAAGACTGGAAATTGTGGTTTCTTGCTCATGTACTCCAGGAGATGGGGGGTGGTAAATCTGAAGGGGTTCTGAATTAAAGAAATAGTACTGTTTTTGCTATCAGAGCATTTTCTCCCATCATGCTTTTTAATTTCCCAAACTTTGGACATTCTCTGTCTGACGGGACGGCACTTCCTGAAGGTTAGGCCTCATCATTGATTATCTCGGGCCTGATGAAATCACTTCTGTTTGCTTTTGGATGAGACCTTGGTTTGCTGACAAGACCTGGAAAAGGGATTCACAAGAAAGTGTGCAGCATGATGATGTGTGCAGGTACACTGCCAGAATATTCACATAATGACAGTTGCCTCACAAAGAAACCCTATGGCTGAGTGATATGTGCGCGTGTGTGCATGTATACTATATTCTCGTGTGTGTGTGTGTGTATGTGTACTATAAACTCATATTTCCTTCACCTATTCACCTACAAATGGATGTTTAGGTTGCTTCCATGTCTTGGCTATTGTGAATAATAGCACAGTGAACACGGGCTACAGGCATCTTTTAAAATGTTGATTTCATTTCCTTCCTATATATGTGTATTTAATATTAAGTTGCTGAATCATACAGTAGTTCTAACTTTTTTAGAAACCTTCATAGAATTTTCCATTTCCAACTCCTCCAGCGTTTCCACTTTAAAATGCTCCAGGGTTCTTTTTTTTTTCCGTATCCTCACTGATACTTTCTTTTGTATTTTTGGTGATAGCTCTAACAGCTGTGAGGTGTATCCCCATGTGGAAGCAGGTGTGTGTTTCCTTGATGCCTAGTGATGTCAAGCACATTTTCACATACCTGTTGGCCATTCGTGTATCTTTGAAAAATGTCTATGCATGCCCTTTGCCCATTTGAAAATTGGGTTATTTGAGGCTTTTTTTTTTTTTTTGTCATGGAGTTGGCTTTTTCTTTAGATTAAAATTTATTCACAAGTTGGAATTTTGGATTTGCTGTAATTTGACCACTTCCCCTTAATTTGCTGTGTAGTTGTTTCAAACACTGAGATATTATTATATAGTCTTTGTGAAGAAAATGTTGGTGTCACTTTTTCTCCATATTTCTGTTGCTTATAATTATTGCAAGAAGTAGAGTTAACTGGATCAAAAGACAGAATGAATTTTCACATCTTTGCTATAATTCACTGTCATGTTGGCTTCTAGAAATACTAGACCCATCTAACTACTCCTAGCAAAAAACAGTAGTGATAGCATGTCTCAGCTCAGCCACTTTGTTCTTTTAAATAATTTGCTAATGCAAGGCAGTAAATGTTAACCTAATTTTCCTACTTAGTTTTGTCTGAATATCATATCCTGAAAATGCGAGCACATTGACTATCTATCTCTATACACAAGATGTCTGTTCTGTTGACAGACTATTTCCAGAAAAGCTTTCATAGATCCTTGATAGGTTCTTTTCAACAAAATGCATGTCCTGTTTTCTCGAGATAGGTTGTATCACATAACATGTAAATGTGTCTGTTGTTTTTCAATATTAAGAATCTATAGTTGTGTGTTAATTGTTTACCATTACCATTTGTTGCTTGCCCCAAAGGGGTAATTTAGAGTCTCCCCTGATTGTGAACCTGAGGAATAAGGTAACTATAAGCCACCAGTGTTTCCTGGTTAAAATGCAAAGTTGTTTGATTACATGAATAATAGCCTACCTGTAATGAGAATGCAAACTGGAAATAGCCTATTTGGCACTGGTGTGTTAGAAAAACACTTTTGCTTAGAATCAACTCTAGATCGAGTATACATACCAAGTGTGACCCAGAGTTACTACTTGTTTGTGGCTTTGGGCTACCCTTAGCCCCTCTTGGGATCGTTCTTCAGTTGCAACATTATAATAAAAATGCCTTTCTTGTGGAGTTTGTCAAAGTTAAATGAGATACCATATTTTGAGAAGTTGACAATTTTAACAGATTTAAGAATCATTAAATTAAGAATTTCTTTAAATGTTTTGAGACTGACACATTGGAGAATTTGACATGGTGCTGATTACATTTTGAGAAATTGCCATTTTAGGTGCAGGCTATTGAATTTCTCAGCCTGTGGTTACCTCGTTGCTTGTGAATGCCATATGCAAGGAGCGGATGAGCTCAGACAGGACTTGAAAAAGCGCACACATCAGGAACTGGCATGATCAGTGGCTGCTTTAGCTTTCAGGTGCATTTGTGATTCTTGTGGAGTCGGGCCTCTGCATCCAGGACCCTTTGAACTGGCATGTTTCCTTGGAAAGAACTACACTTCAGATGTCACCTTCTGAAAAGGCAATTTCTAAAAAAAAATCAACCACTTTGCAGCATACCCAGATTGTAAGGGTGCTATGGGCCTGTTTCCGTCCTGACAAGTCAGCTGACAACTGGTGTTTGTCCCACTCTGCAGAGTCTGTGAAGACTCTAGCTGTGTGGTAAATGGATTTTAACCAACCTGGTTCAGTTGGGAGGATACCCCTCACTTCTTAGAGCACAGTTTCCACCTGTTTCATTCATTATGAGGGTATCAGCAAATTTTTGATGCATGCGGCTACTGCCCTTGATGTGAGAAGTTACTAATTTCTTTGTCCTATCTTCTCAATACCTCCTATTTTCCTCACGCTTACATGTAGTTCAAGAAATACAGCATAAAGTATTAATTATACTGTGAAATGGATGTGGTAAGCCAACATGTGAAGAAGCTAAGTGCAAACGTGAGTCAACTTGTCTTTGTATATCTCATTGAAGAAAGGAACTATAAAGTATTTAAAAAACAGAACTAGGAGGATAGGTATTTCTCTTTTGATGTAAGTCTTCCTACACTCATCCATAGGTGTATAGTAGCCATGTTGTATTCTGTAACTGAGTTCTCACAAGTTGCATATTTCTGCACATTCTTGGTTCTTTTTGTTGGCAACATCAAATTATACACCACCATTTATTAGTCTACTTCTGCAATGTTACTTAAATTTTAACTAAAAATACAGCATTAAACATCTTTATAAAAGTTTTTCTTCTTTTGAGCTATTTCCTTGGAATAGCATCAAAAATTGGATCGCTGGATCATAGGGTGTGAATGTATTGTAAGCATATATTTTATTTCTATAATTGGCTTTTTTGTTTGCATAAAAAAATTCAATCTGGCTTTTCTTACATTACCTCCCCCAACATGAGCAACTCAGTCAAGGCTTTTATTTTTATCATGCGTTTCGGGTGTACAGTTTTACATGGCAAAATTAAAGGAACAAACCGTTCTCTTTCCATAGTATAAACCCTCAGCTCTCAAGTGAGGTCTAGGTGCAAACACCCTTCTGATTTTCTCTCTGATATTTCATCAAGTGATCCATATTTTACTTCTTCATAAAAAGCAGCTGATGAGAAAGACAAACCTCTTGTTTTGGGGGCTGTTGATTCACTGGGTGATTCTCTGGAGTTTTTCCACTTGGGAACCGATTCCGTATGATTTCCTTGAAGAGACATCACTTTGGTTTTCAATTTACGTGGCCATTCCACCAACGCCACAGCACATCACTCTGCAGGAGTGACAGCCACGATACATAACTTCACGTTGGGAATGAAAAGTGCAACCATTCTTAATTGTTT